CCTTCTGTGGCGAATTGCAAAGGGAATCCTTGTGTGGCGGATTACACATTGATTCCTTTTGTGGCGGGTTACAAAGGAAATCTTTTTGTGGCGAGTTACAAACGGAATCCTTTCGTGGGGATCGTTAGCGGCCTGGACGTGCGAGATGTTCCCAGGGTTTTTGAATTTTTCAAATTTTGAAAATTTGTACAATTTCTTAAATCGGAAAACCAGGTTTCGCTTGAGACTGTCTCAGAATTTTATAAATGCATTGAGCTTGGCTGATGTAAGATTCAAAAGGAGTCTCACTTTTTAATTGTTTCTACATTGATTTCACACAGGAAACACAGTTTCGCTTGAGACTCCCTCTGAATTCCACATCAGCCAAACCCAATGGATTTATAAAATTCTGAGACAGTCTCAAGCGAAACCTGGTTTTCCGATTTTTTTTATATATAAAAAAAACCTTGGGAACCTCTCGCACGTCCAGGCCGCTAAAGATCCCCACGCAAGGATTCCCTTTGTAATTCGCCACAAAAAGATTTCCTTTGTAACCCGCCACAAAAGGAATCAATGTGTAATCCGCCACAAGAGGATTCTCTTTGTAATTCGCCACAGAAGGATTCCCTTTGTAATCCGCCACAAAGGAATCAAGTTGTAATCCGCCACAAAAGGATCACCTTTGTAATTCGCCACAAAAGAAATCAGTTTGTAATCCCCCACAAAAGGATTCCTTTTGTGAGCCGCCACAAAAGGGGCCAATTTGTAATCCGCGACAAAACAGGAATCAATTGGTAACCCGCCACACAATGAATCACTATGTAATCCGCCACAAAAGGAATCAAGTTGTAATCCGTCACCTAAGGAATACTTGTAATCCGCCACAGAAGGTTTCACGGTGTAATCCGCCACAAAATGAAACATGTTGGCATCCGCCACAAGAGAGAGAGAGAGAGAGAGAAAGAGAGAGAGGGATAGAGAGAAGGAGAGAGAAGCATTAAGGAGAGGGAGAGGGAGAAGGAGAGGGAAGCATGAAAACTTCAAAGTGCCGAAAGCCCGCCATACCCATCCAGTCTGGAGCTCCTCAGGCGCCAGGCTGGATGGGCATGGCTGGCTTTCGGCCTTCAAAGGGTTTAAGGGCAGTTCTTTGTCCAACTCCGTTTCGCTCTTCCGTTCTCTCCCAATCCTGCATTCCTTCCTCCTCCTCCTCCTCCTCCCGTGGACTCATTTGACGGAGATGCGTTCTGACGTTTCTATTGCAATCAAATGGACATGCGGACCGGTTAAACTCGTGATTTATTTTCAGGTGCGACGGCTATTAAGAACACGCGCGTGCAAGCTGTGAACGAGCAGCGATGCCTACATCGCAGATTCCCCCGTCTCCTCCTCCTCCTCATCATCATCATCATCCTCTCATCTTCCTCCTCCCCCCCATCCATCCTCCTCCTCCTCCTCATGATCGTTGCCGTCGCCGTCGTCGTCCTCCTCCTCGCCCACCCCCCCTTCTCCAACTCCTCGTCGTTCGTTTCTTGTTCCTCTGCCCCACCGCCGCATTTTACCCCGCCCTCGCCTCCTCCCTCCTCTCTCCTCCTTCCCCCACTGTCCCCCTTCCCCGCCGCCACCCCAGCTCCCTCCTCCCCCTGTCCTCTTCTGGCATCGCTGATCCCTCATCGCCTCCTCCCTTTTCCCCCATCCCCGATCCACATGGCCCTCCCTCATAATCATGGTTCCCCTCCTCCCTCCGCTTGCATCCTGCCGCCTCCCTCCTGCGTCCTGCATCCCCCTCCTCCCCCATCAGATCCCTTCGCCTTGGTTTTACTATATATATATATATATATATATATATATATATATATATATATATATATATTATCACATGTTATATATATATAGCATGCACGCGGAATTGCACGCATGCGCACACGTCTTGCAAGTTCAGGCATCCCTACGCACGCACATACACATATGCATGTGCACGCAAGGGAGGAAAGAGGGTGAGAGGGAGGGAAGGGGGGAGGGATGGGAGATGAAAAAAATGCGTGTGGAGGGCGTTTGTGAGGGAAGAATGCGCGGGCGGCGGGAGGGGTATGATGCCCTCCCACCACCATGCTTCTCCTTCTCTACATTGACCTCCCGCCCCCCCTCAACTTCCCCCCATTCTCCCGCGCCCTCGCCCTCCGTGCCGCCACCGCCCTCAAATATGGAGGGAGGGGGGGGGGACGGTGAGAGGGAGGAGAGAGAGAGAGAGAGAGAGAGGGAGAGAGAGAGAGAGAGAAATGGTAGTGGCTGCGTTGCAGGGGGAGGGAGGTGGGGAGGGGGGATGACAGCCGCTCAAACCATCCTCGCCGCCTGCCCCTCTCTCTCTTTCTCTTTTTTTCTCTCTCTCTCTCTCTCTCTTTCTCTCTCTCTCTCTCTCTCCAACCACCGCCACCCTCGATGTATGGAGTCATGAACAGTTAGTGGAAGGATGCGAGGCACGTGGGGGAAGTCGCGGTGGTGCTGCAGGGAACCAATGAGGGTGGCATGGAAGGGCGAAGGAGAGAAAACGAGACAGAGAGAGAGAGAGAGAGAGAGAGAGAGGGAGAGAGAGATAACGAGAGAGCTGCAGGTCGCGGATGCCATCCCAATTCCCTCGCGGATGCCATCCCAATTCCCTCCCCCTCACTCGCGGATGCCATCCCAATTCCCTCCGTCCGCCTTTTCTCCCTCCCCCCTTCGCACCGCGGCCCTTCCCCCATTCCTCTCTCCCTCTTAGTCGCTACCCCTACCTTTTTTGAGGCGTGCGAGAGCGCGAGAGACGGCGAGAGGGATGGGGCAGGGGACAGGGAACGGTGGGGGGAGCGGATGGGGACATTGAGATGTGGTCGCGGTGGGGGGCGGCCGATCTGGACGAATGGAGGTGAGGGGGAATTGGGATGGGGGAGGGAAAGGCGAGGTGTTGGTGGCGGGAGAACAGCAATTCCTTCCCTCCTTGCTCACACCACCGGCCCCTCCTTCATGGTCGTTAGTGGTGGAGGGATGTCGGGATGGAGGGGGGGAAAGGAACGCCGAAATATGGGAAATGGAAATCGGAGAGGAGGTGGCGGCGGTGGTGGTGGCGGATCCGCCACAAAAGGAATCAATGTGTAAATCCGCCACGAAAGGAATCAAATTGTAAATCCGTCACAGAAGGAATCAGTTTGTAAATCCGCAACAGAGAGAAAGAGAGAGAGAGAGAGAAATAGAGAAAGGGAGAGGGGGGAGAGAGAGAGAGGGAGAGAGAAGAGGAAAAGAGAGAGAGAGAGAGATAATCATTAAAAATGAGCCAAGAGAGTGGCCCACGGGAGTCCCACGGCAAAGCCGTCAAAGGTCTGGGTAGTCTCCGAAGGAATGAAGCGGGAGGTGTCCTGGACCACCTAGGTAGTAAATGAAGGGGGTTGAGCATTGGGGGCTGCGGCCCAAGCGTTTCGCCTCGCTGCCAACGAAATGGGAGGGCTGGCCAGACCCCTCTTCGTGCCAGTGGACCTGAGCAGGTGACCACATAGGATGGCACTTGGACGACCGATGGGCCCAACCCGCCGACTTATTGTTGGCCGTCTATGCCGAGTCCCGCCACGCTTGGGTGCGAACCCTTGGGAGTCGTTGGCCAGCTCTGACTGGAGGCTGTTGGTGAGTTCATCCGCGGGGCACGCCAAGAGACCCAGGGTCTTTTCATGAGCGACTGGAGCGTGTGACCATCCAGGGCAATTTGGCGACTCACGGCTTGTTTTTCTTGCAAGATGAGCTTTGTCTCGCCGGGCAGGTCAGGGCCAGTGTCCGAGGCCTCCACGGCCCAGAGCGTGGCCTCATCCGCCGGGCTGCTCATGGCAAGGCGCCGTGATAGCTCTGGGCAGCTGCTGGCCAGGCAGCGGACACAGAGGGGCGAGCGAGACCTAGCTTCCTGGTTGCCTGAGCGCTGGATTCCTGCTCATCCGGAGGCACCTGCTCGATGCGCGGCGGGAAGCCCATGCAGCTACTGGATGCCCGCGGGATTGCGGGCGGTGCGCGAGAGCTCCGCCCCAGAAGCTGCGGCAGAGGCTGCACAGGCCGTGCCGGGCTGTCTCCACGTAGCTCTGCGTGCCCGAGGGAGCTGCTCCGCGACCGCTGCAGGACGGTGGCCGCCCGCCCGAGACTGCCCCCCAGTCCGTTGGGGGGCAGCTGCGGGCCTGTTACAACATGTACAGTCGGGGCCCTGAAGAAGGAGCCCTTTTCGTTGGGGAGGGGCTCCGTGTTCCTTGATTGCTTCACAGTTTGCCTTGGGTTTTCCTTGAACTTGTGGGAAAAAGGGGCCCCGTTCCTTATTTATCGTTCTTGAGGTCAACGCCCCGACTGTGGGGCCTTCGGCGACACAGTGTGGAGACCATGACCTCCCAGTCCCAAGGGAACGGGTCACAGGGCGATGTGGAGAGGAGGGTGAAGATTCGAGGGACTCCACGCTTTTGACAAGCGCGTGAAACCCTGCAGAGATCAGAGAGTGGTCTAACAGGGACTTCTGGTCTTCCTGGTAAACAGAGAGGGCTGCGCAGAGGCAGCGATGTTAAGTTGCCCTCGCCGTCCAGGACAGATCTCGAGAACATGGGAAGGATCGATATTCGCCAGCATTCTCAAACTGGAGCGATGGTATAATTTGCCAAGGTGGGCGTGCCAGCCACGATGCGGTTCATTCAGCTCATTCCCGGGTTAAGGACCACTGAGTCGAGGCGGATTGGGGTGAAGCCAGGAGGCTCACAGCGAACCGCTGCAAGGGGGGAAGGGTCTGTGGAAGAGGGGAGTGTCAGCCGGTAGGGGGTACAGGCCCACGTCGGGGGACGAGGAGGAGGACGAGGAGGAGGGGCAGGGGAGTAGGAAGGAGGAGGGGGAGGAGAGGGGAAGGGGGATGGGAATGGGAAGGAGGAGAAGGAGGAGGAGGAGGAGGAAGAGGAGGAGCAGGAGGATGAGGAGAAGGAGGAGGCAGAAGATGAGGAGGAGAAGGCGGTAGGGGCCGCTCGTTTTGAGGGGGGCAGGCGAACATGACGTCCGCGGCACAAGCGCACGCGATCATCCGCAAGTCCAAGGCCTTCGGCAAGGCTCCCCGTTCTCCGACGCCGGGGCTGCGGCCGAGAAGCGAGCAAATCAAGGGGAGAAGGAGGAGGAGGCGGAGGAGGAGGAGGAGGAGGAGGAGAAGGAGGAGGAGGAGGAGGAGGAGAAGGAGGAGGAGGAGGAGGAGGAGGAGGATATGGTTCGGGATATGTTTCGGCCGAGAACTTCCACCACTGGTACGAACAATGAGAGCTTGATGGCTGGCTCCTCGCAAAGCGGATCTCCCATAGGAGCCCCGATACGTGGTCGCGCCCCTCCCACAAACGCATCAGTCGATCTCTGGACGTCCGAGCATTGGCTCCTGCACAGGGCTTCACATTCAGACCTGAGGAGCAGGAGGTGGAGGAGGAGGAGGAGGAGGAAAAAGAGGAGGAGGATTGGCTCAGGGTTGCAGTTGGGTTCTTGAACGGGCCCCCGCTGGTACACTAAGACCCCACTGGTCAGGGCTGAACGAAGGGGGGGACGCGCGAATCACGACCCCAAAGCTCGGGAGGGCAAGGAACCCGCGGAAGTGTCCAAGCGCCCCAAGCACTGGCTCAGGTACCGCCCGCCTGTCTCGTTCTCTCGAACCTGGTCAGGACACGTTGGCCCGCTCAGGAAGGCCAGCTTGCTGACGAAGTTTTGTCTGGGAGCGCCTGCCCCGGAGCTGCGACGGCGCCAGCGGCCTCGGCCCCCTCCCGCGGTCCAGTAGGGTGACCCGCGATGGCGCTTAAACTCTGCTGGCTCGTTGACAGGATGCCTTCGCAGTCAAGCCGCTGAAATAAGAACCACTTTGGCCGAAGGGGGTCAGGAGGGGCTCTGGTTCCCGGGCCGTTCCTTGGGTCCAGGGCGGGGGACCCATTCGTGGCCGAGGGTGCTCCCGGCCCGTGGACTGGATGCCCGTGTGCAGTCAAAAACGCGGAAAGTGAGGACCACGCTTGCTTCCACAGGGAGCTCCACCGAAGGTACCAGTGGCAGGGTCCGCATGCAGTTCCACTTCCATTTCGGCGCACCCCTCGCACGTTTCGTGGCCCCATAGGGCGCTCCGCCCAAGGCCCCCCAGTGGCAGGGTCCGCATGCAGTTCCACCTCCATTTCGGCGCACCTTTCACACATTTCGTGGCCCCATAAGGAGCTCCACCGAAGGCCGCAGCAGGATGGTTCGCATGGCACCACCGCTCCGTTTCGGCACACTCCTCACATGCTTCGCGGCCCCATAGGGAACCCCACCTGATGCCCCAATGGGAGGGTTAGCATGGCACCGCCGCCCCACTTCGGCACACCCATCACGCGTTCCGTGACCACACAGAAAGTTCCACCTGAGGCCTCAGTGGGAGGGTTCGCATGGCAGCGCCGCCCCGTTTCGGCACACCGCCCACACGCTTCGTGGCACCATAGGGAGCTCCGCCGAAGGCCCCAGTGGGAAGGCTCGCATGGCACCGCCGCCCCATTTCGGCACATTTTCCACCCGCATGGCGGCCCCGCCTCACCTTGCTACGCTCCTCGCACGCTTCGTGGCCTCATGAAGGGATTTTCCGAAGGCGATGCTCACAAGCAAGGCACTCACAACTGCATATGGTTGGGCCTTTCGCCATGCAAAGTGTTTTCCAGTTGCACGGGTTCCTTGTCAAGTGTGTAAACTCGTAGCGTTTCCCTTCGTAGGGATTACGCACTGTGTGTCCAATTGTAGTTTTCGTAATGTTTTCCAGCGTACGGATGTGTGTGTGTGTGTGGATGTTTTCCCAATCATCTTCTGGTCTTGGGTCTTCGTTTTGAAGAGACATCGCCCCGCGTCTCCTTCGTTTCTTCATTATTTCCTTCCCGCTGCCCTCCTCCCATCCCTGCCCCTGCTCTCCGCATGATCGTCCCATGTCGGCACACCCTTCGCACGTTTCGTGGCCCCAAAGGGAGCTCCACCAAAAGGCCCAGTGGCAGGGTCCGCATGGCACCGCCGCATACATTTCGGCACACCCCTCACACGCTTCGTGGCCCCATAGGGAGTTCCGCCGAAGTCTCCAGTGGCAGGGTTCGCATGGCACCGCCGCCTCCATTTCGGCACACCCTTCACACGCTTCGTGGCCCCATGAGGGGCCCGCCGAAGGCCCCAGTGGCAGGGTTCGCATGGCCTCGCCGCTTCCATGTCGGCACACCCCTCACACGGTTTGTGGCCCCACAGGGAGTTTCACCGAGCGTGATATTCAAACCGAATGGATTCTCAATTACATATGGTTGGGTCCTTCGCCAGGATAACCCTTGTTTTCAAGCGCATTGGTTGTCTGCTGTGTTCCCTTTGTCTGGGCGTTGCTACTGATTCCCATTGTATAGATTTGTATGTCTCCTTATTGGTTTCAAGTGAGTCGATTTCGTTTTTTGTGCATGAATTTAGTTTGTTGTTCATTGTGCGGGGTTTTTGATTGGTTTCAAGTGTGTGGTCTGCTTCTTGCTTCTCAGTGTTTGGATCCCGTTCTGCTTTACAGTGTATTGATTCTTTGCTGAGTGCAAATCGCGGTTCAGCGCGTGTAATAATTTAGATCGTCATCTCTCTCTCTCTCTGTCGTCCCCCCTCTCTCTCTATCTCTTTCTCGTTCTCTGTCTCTCTCTGTCGTTGCCTCCATATATGTCTCTCTCTCTCTCTTTCTCTGGGTCTCTCGATCCCTCTCTCGCGCGCTCTCTCTTCCTCTCTCTCTCCCTCTGTCTGTGTTTCTTTGTGTCTGTCTTGTTTGTTTTGTTCTCTCTCTCTCTCTTTCTCTCCAGGCAGGTAAGGAAGGACTGGCGGCATGGGTAAGGCAGGAAGGGCGGCATGGAGCGGAAGGACGCATGGATAAGCAGGGGGCGGGGAGGAGGAAGAGGAGGAAGAGGAGGAAGAGGAGGAGGAGGAGGAGGAGGAGAGGGAGGACGAGGGACGAGCTGGTGAGAGGAGGGGGGCTTCTTGAAAACCCGAAACCCCTAGAGCTTAGATGTGAGATGCAAGGCGATCTCAGATGTCGACGTGTTGGGGTTATGGTTCAATATTTCTGTGGTTGTTTGGTGTACGAAGTTGTGCTGATGCAGTTTCTAATTAACTTCTTCGGGGAACGAGGGGGGGAAGAAGAGAGAAAGAGAGAGGGCGGACGAAAGACAGAGAACGAGAGAGAGGTCGGGGGGTGGAGACGGGCCTTTTCTCACGGTGCCGTACCGTTTCATTCAGGGAGGGAGAGAGAGATAGAAAGAGAGAGAGAGAGGAACAGTAAAAAGTCTATCATTGTTTCCTATTGCAGGGAAGATGAGGAAGGAGAGAAAAGGTGAACGAGGGTGAGAGGGAGTCCGTTTGAGATGGAGGAAGCAGGAGGAACGGAGCACTCTCTCTCTCTCTCTTTCTCTCTCCCGTTCTCTCTCTAAGTCTCTCTCCGTCCCTCTCTCGCACGCTCTCCCGCACTCTCTCTCTCTCTCTGTCTCTGTCTCTGTCTGTTTCTCTTTCTCTTTCTATATGCTTATATCTCTCTCTCTGTGCGCACGTATGTATACATACATATAGATGTGCTGCTTCCTTGTTCCCGGCCGTCCTGTGGAGTTGGGTCTTCGTTTCGAAGAGACAGCGCCCCACGATCCTCCTCTTCTCCTCCTCCTTCCCCTCCTCCTCCCTCCCCTCCTCCCTCCTCCCATCCCTGTCGCTGGCCAACGCATGTCAGAACTGTCATCATCACCATCATCAGCATCCTCATCATCATCATCATCATCATCATCATCATCACCATCATCATCATCATCATCATCATCATCATCATCATCATCATCATCATCATCATCAGCATCAGCATCAGCATCAGCATCAGCATCAGCATCAGCATCTTCATCATCGCCGTTATCACCGCCATCATCGCCATCAGCTTCGGCACACCCCTCACACACTTCGTGGCCCCACACGGAGCCCCACCAAAGGTCCCAGGGGCACCGCCCGCATGCGTCCGACCCGCCATTTCAGCACACCCCTGACGAGGACCGTGGCCCCATAGGGTGCTCCACTGAAGGTCCTGCGGGCGTCGGCCGCATGCGTCCGACCCACCAACTTCAGCACACCCTTCCACAAGGATCGTGGCCTTATAGGGAGCTCCGCCGAAGGTCCCAGGGGCGCTGGACGCGTGCGTCGGACCCACTCATTGTGGCACACCCCTCACGCGGATCATGGCCCCACAGGGAGCTCCACCGAAAGTCCCACGGGCGCCGCACGTATGAGTCCGACCCACCCATTTTGGCACACACACACACACGCACACACACACACACACACACACACACACACACACACACACACACACACACACACGCACACGCACACGCACACGCACACGCACACACACACACACACACACACACACACACACACACACACACACACACACACACACACCGCGAGGACCGTGGCCCCATGGGGCCTTTCCCTCTCGTTTATCCTTGCTTGGGCGAGGGGGGGGTCTTGCGACGTGAGGGTTGGGGGCGTGGCGTGTAAACCCCTCCCCAGAGAGGGGAAGAAACGGTTTGGGATACCACCTCCGCCCCGAGCCCATAGCGGGCCCCCAGTCCGTCAGAAACAACTCGGGATGCAACGCCAGTCCTGGGGAAGAGGTCAACGTTTTGGGGTCCACGATGGGGGTTATCCCGGCAAAGCAACCTAACAGCGATGTGTAGGAGCATATTTGGAAGCATTCCCCTTGAGATTCAGTTGACAATCCAATTGTAGAATTCTGCTGTTCTCGCAGTCGTAGTCGCATTCGCGATGACAGTCGCAGTGGCAACGGCAGTCGCAGTCACAGCCTCAGCCTCAGCCTGCCTGAGACTCAGCCTCAGCCTGCTTCAGCCTCATCCTCAGTCTGCCTTCAGCCTCGGCCTCAGCCTCAGCCTGCCTCAGCCTCAGCCTGCATCAGCCTCAGCCTCAGCCTGCCTCATCAGCCTGCCTCAGCCTCAGCCTCAGCCTCAGCCTCAGCCTCAGCCTGCCTTCAGCCTCAGCCTCAGCCTCAGCCTGCCTCAGCCTC